AAATTTATAGTAAATAGTTTATCACATTTTTTGAAATTATACAAGTAAAAAAAGATTTTAATAAATATGTATATAATTCATAAACTTATGCAATATTAAATAAATAAATCTTATCATAAATTAGCAATTTTAAAAAAATTGTAAACATTTAGAAAATAATAAAAAAAATACTAAAAATTATATGACGAAAAATTAGAAAATTTTTAATTGATCATAGTAAAAAAATGATCAATTAATATATAAAAAAATTAACTATTAATTTTTTATTTTTTCTATTCTTTTAATTGCTCTAGCTATTTTCTTAATTAAAGCAATAACTGTAGTATATTAAATACTACCTTCACTTAATTCTATTATTACAGTATTATGTACTACTCTTGTTAACCAATATCATATCAAATTAGATATCATTTCTATAGCTATATTATATTAGAAATAAAAAATAACTATCTTTTACAATATTCTTCTCATAAACAAAACTTAATATCCAATAAATCGGTTATTATCAGAATATCTATTTGCCTTATAATTTTTTGCACAAAATAATATATTGATTATTTTATCTTATCTAATATTTTTTTTAAATTATTTATAGAATTTCGTGAATTAAGATAAATTCTCCCTTCTATCATATATTCAATTTATAATTAAATTCTCATCTTTAATATAGACCTTTAATGCCTTTAAAATTATATTATTTTCATCTTTAAAATATAATTTCTAACAAATGAATTTAAAGGATTTTTACATTAATTATAAGTAACTATTTCTATATTATCATAGTAGTTTATTTTATTATAATTAAATAATAGATATATCTTTATTATAACTTTGATTTTAGTTTTAAAATAACTTACTACTTTTTTATTGACAGATTCTCTAACTATCTTACTTACTATTTTATTATTACAAATAAATATTATTAATTTATTTTTACCAAGTATTTTCATTTTATTTTCATTTAATAAATTTATATAATTAACTTTTTTATAACAAAAAACATTTTTTAGCTAAGCTCAGTTTATATATTATATTAATTATTTCTACAAGTTTTTTAATTATAAGTTTTATTGAACTTTTGTAATTTTATACTAATTATTCTAACAATCTAATAATTTTTAATATTTTTTTAATTTATCTGATTTTTTACTTTCATTATTTAAAGATTAAATGATTTTTATTAAAAGTCACATAAATTTAAAGATTTAGTTTTTTAAATAAAAAAATATTTAAATTAATATAAATTTTTCAAATAAGATATATTTTTTTATTTCTATTTGTTAAAGTTAAATTTATTTACTTTATTATTTAATATTTCTTGATTTATTAACTATATTTTAAAATAGTTAACTTTTTTAAATAAAATTTTTTTCTTAATATACTAAAATTATTATAAATAAAATAGATAGATTTTAATATTTTGTTATCTATCTATTATCTAAATAAAAAGCAAAAAGGTGACTAATTCAGATGATTAGTTTTGTTAAATAATATCTTTTTAAAGAAGTTAGTTAATAATATCTTTTAATGAATATAGCTAGTTTTGCTAAATAATATCTTTCAGAAATAACTAAAAATTAACAACTATTCATTTATTTAAAAATTTTTTTTAATAAATAAAGAATAATATAAAAAAGGATGATCAAAATCTGGTTTATATGTATTAATTATCATAAATTTAAGTTAATCTAAATTTAATAATATCTGTTCTCTTATTAAGAAGAATAATTCAAATTTATCATATTAATAAAATATGACATGTATACATGATTACTTTTTAATTGAAATAATTATATACATGTGTAATCAGATTTGAATCAGTAATACATGAAATAATATATTATATTATATTATTTTTCTTTGTTTCTCATATTAAATCAAATTTACAAAAATTAGAAAATACTCAAAAAAAATTAATATTATATGTGATCAATACAAATTTTAGACTCAGATATTTACATATTTATAAATAATATTTTAAATTAAAAATTACTTATTGAATAAATGATATTTAAAATAGTATATTATCTTATATTATCTCTTTTTTTTAATTACCTAATAATGTTAAATTAATATTGCAAAAATACTTATTTATAATCAAAAAATTTTATTTATATTCAATTTAATATTGCATTACGTATTTTATAAATTTTTTTTATTAAAATTCTTCTTATTTTTATTGTTTATCATTTTGTAATTATAAAAAAAGAAATATGCTTTTTTTATATTTAAAAAAAAGTTACTTAATACCTTTAATATAAAAAAAGAATACTATATGATATTATTACTTTATAAAAAAATTACCTTTTATTATTATATATATAAAAAAAATATCACCTGACACCTTTGTTATAAAAAAAATTAATAATATCACTTAACACCTTTGTTACTATATATAAAAAAAATAATGCTACTTAGTATCTTTGTTATAGAAAAAATAATAATATCACCTAATACCTTTATTATTATATAAAAAAGAAAAAAAATAATGATATCTGGCACTTTTTTTATAGAAAAAAATAATAATAATGCCACTTGATACCTTTATTATTATTATATAAAAAGAAAAAAAAAGCTACCTAACATCTTTGCTATATAAAAAAATAATAATGCTAACTTTATTATTATAAAAAAAAAACATTCTTTTGATATTAAAACTTGTAACTAGTTTTAATAAAATGATATCTAACATCTTTGCTATTATATTGTATATATATAAAAAAAAAAAAAAATACCATCTGATATCTTTATAATAATAAATAATTCTACTAATATTTACTATATTTAAAAAATTTTCCACCTAGCATCAAAAAAAAGCCATCTAATACATTTATAATTATAATTTAATTATTAATTATATTAGTTTTTCAGATGCTTTATATTTCTTTTTAAATAATAGTTTGATTTTATATTTCTTATATTCAATTGTATTATATTCTGGTCTTTAATATCTAAAGCAGTTTGATAAAGAATGCTGAGAAAAGCAGTTTGGCTAAATACTTAAAAAGTAAAGGTATTATTTCTGATAAAACTTATTTATATATCAATAAATTAAAAGAAGAATACAACTAAACCTTCATTAATATTTTAACTTTTATTAGCTTTATATCTAAAATAATAACATATGTAATATGGGATATATAAGTTCCTATTAAAATGAACCAGTTATGATTAATTGATAATCTAATACCTTTTAATATAATATATAGTAGTTGTAGTTATATTATCAGTAGTAATAGTAATGATAGTAATAGTAGTGATGGTAGTGATGGTAAAAATAAGAATAATATTGATATTACTACTGCTTTTTATTATTGCTATTGCTACTATTATTATTTATTATTGCTATTACTATTGTCACTAAGATTATTAGACAAAATCTAGAGATTTTACAAATTATCTAAATAGAAAAAGGTAAAATTAAATGAAATTATATTAAAACCTTATTAAAAAATCTGTAAAATTCTGAAAAAGATAAAACTATATCAAAGCTTATAAAAATGCGAAACTATATTAAAACTTTAGTAAAAAATTAGCAAAACTATAATTTAGTTATTTTGCTAAATCAAAATGAGTTTAGACAAGTAATCTTAGTTATCGCTATTATTTTTGCTACTGAAAAAATTGCTAAAATTACTATTATAACTGTTGATAATACAGTTGAGTAATATTCAATACTTAAGGATAATTTATTTATAATAAGTACATTCTTTTAAAATTTCTTGATTATTATTTATAAATGATTTATATAAGAACAATAATTCTTAATATAAATTATTATTGTTGAAAGTAATAAAATCTTCAAAAATTTCTCTTTGTTAATTTTATTATAACTTATATTAAACTATCGTACTTAAGAAATGATACAACTATTATATTTAAAGAATAATAATACCTTTATATTTAAAAAACTATTTGTATCTAAGGAATAAAAATACAATTATTTCTTAGAAATAATAAAACTATTATACTATTAGAATAATAAAATCATTCTAATCAGACATCAATAGACTATAAATAAGATAAATCAAATTTTAACTGATTTTTGATATATACTAATCAGCTATAAGTGTGCTAATCAACTATAAATAATAGGTTGAATTTTAGCTAAATTTAGTCGATTCTTAATGTATGCCAATCAGCTAAACTGATTTTTAATAATTTGTAGATTTTAGACTGATTTTTTGCATATCTAATTTTTTGATTTCGACCAGTGATATAATATTAGTGACAAATATATCTGTCATATGATCTAGATATATAAATCCTGTGTAAACTTAAACATTTTCTAAAAACTTTATTTAATTTATATTTTATTATAATTCATTAGTATAAATTTAAAAATTTTTAGTTATAAAAAAGTTAAATTACTTATTAATAAGAAACAACTTTTATTGAATAATTATTAAAATTAAATTTTATGAATAATTATAAAGAAAATAATTTTAAGATTAATAATTTTTATAAATCATTTAATGATTTTTAATATTTAATCATTTATTTATATTAATACATAATTAGAAAGTAAAATATAATTCTGGTAAAATAATCTTTTTTGAACTGGTAAATTTATTAAAACTCTTAAATCTTTTAAAATTATTTAATATTTCTGTAAATAAATAAATTTTTAAATTAATAAACTTATAATCTTTATTTTAAAGTAAATTTTACAATTTAATAGATAATATTTAAACTAAATTATGTAATTTTTTTAAAATTATTTATTATTTATATTTTTTTATAAATTAAAAAATATATATTATTAAATGATTGGAATACTAAATTAATTATATTAATTACATAATAATTATAATATAATAAATACCTAAATTTTCATAACGAATGACTGTAATATCTATTTGACCTATTTCTACTTCATTTGTTTGAAAAAAAAAGTTTTGTCGATTTCTTTATTATTAATTCAGACATACACACAATCCGTTATTTGGCTTAAAAGTAAGTGCAATGCGTGATGCACTTATGTACCTTTAATCTAAAAATTATTTATTAGGAAGAACTTTATTCGAAAATCCACCATTTTCCTTCACTTCTTTCAACCATTGTTTCCAAAGTTCTTTCTTGAACAACGCTTTTTCATCTCCTATTACCACCAAAAGAGCTTGTGCTCGAGTTACAGCAACGCAGAACCGTCTCGGTTCCCCAAGGAATTCAACATTTTTAGTTCGAACTGTAGAAATAATGATCACGCGTCTTTCTTGGCCTTGAAATTTCTCCACAGTGCCAATATCCACCCCAGAGATATTCCGTTTTATAAACAATTTCTTGATCTTTTCAACCTGTTTAACGTAGGGTGTGACGATACCAATTTCTTTTGGCTTGACGTTTTGTTTCTGAAGTTTCACAACAACTTCTAACACATAACCGGCCTCTCGAGCATTGAAATACGATAGGGATTGGCCCTCACGATCTTCTTTACCTTCTACATTCCAGAACATGATCGGGTAATCCTTTGTAGGGAGGAGAGAAAAGTTACCTAAGTTATGAGTAATTTGCTTGTCAGCTGAGGGTATAAGATCATTGTTATAAAACTTAGCACTAGGAAAGCTTAGGATTTTAGGGTGTGAGCGGTAGTTCATCCGGAGCTTTACCCCGTAAATACTTGTATCGCCAAAATCATAGAATTCGCTTTTGTCAAGACGTTCGATCAGAGATTGTCCAAGGCCAAGCTCTTTCGCAATTGAAGAACGGACAAGTGGACCTAGTTGCTTCGGGTCACCTGCTAAAATAATTTGTGTGTTTTTGGAAGCATTTTACAGCGCGGTTACGATTTCTGGTTCTATTGCTTGCTCTGCCTATTACGTAATTAAAATATTAAAAACACCAGAAAGCCAAATGATAGGTTATTTTATAATAATTAAATACCTCATCAATAAAGATATGAGTGTAAGACTTCGTTCTTCCGAGCAAATACACAGTTCCTGCAGTAATACAAGTGGTCACGACAATCCGGTGCTTCTCAATATAGCTCATGTTCGGAAGCTGGTAATTGCCGCATTTATCTATCATACAATAGCAATGAAATTCCCGTTCTATTTTTTCAGGTTCTTGCGAAATGGCGTTGATTCGAACCATTTCTTCAGGAGGTAGTCGTTTACTCAATTTTTTCAATAGCCAATTGGCCGCCGCATTTGACGCCGCGCAGGCGAGAATCCTGGTAGTAGGATTATCATCCAGAAGTTGCCACATTGCTTCAACGATAGTGGAAGACTTGCCTGTAACGATAATTGCAGACATAAATAAATGACAAAATAAATTTGAAATCAAGCGTACGTTACTAGCCTGTTCCGGGTGGACCGAAGACAATAAAAGGCCAGGGTTGATGAATTCCTGATTTGATAATGGCTACCGCACGTCTTTGGTAATAATTCAGTATAGTGTAGAATTTGATGTTTTGAAAATCCACGTCATTTGCAGAGAAATTTTGATGGTTCTGTGGGAACAAACGACTAAATTCCACTTTTGGATTCCTGACGGTTTGATGCATCCTTCTCATTGATACACGATTAAAGGTGAATCGGACATCGAACCTCACGTTTGAATTGTACACTTCCTGCGAGAATGACTCATCAAACTTTAAATCAATGCTACTTTTAAGTACCTCGTGCACGAACCCTTGGTATGCTTCTGCTTTCTTATCTCCACATTTCACAACAAAAATATAATCCCCAGGAAGCACTGACAGGCGTTTCTCTGCGAGTGCGCGTTTATGAATTTTCATTTTAAAATAGTCTCCAGATTTCTTCACTAATTTCACTTTCTGCCGGTCATACCTTTTGAGGTCTTCATTTGTTTTGTACTCCTCTGCATAGAGTAGTTCACTGAAAAACTTACTATAATTATTGGCATTCAATTGACTGCTAAGCCGTCTAAGGACATCCTGGTGAGGTCTTTCAAAGATTGTTTTTAACTCTGTAGGCATTTCATACTTTTTTAACGAGTATTTATATTTTACTCGCTCAGTGAGTTTGAGGGATTTACCATGAACGATATCTCTATTTTCCATGAAATCATCACTACCTTGTTTGACTTTGTAGGATGGCTTGGCCCTTAGAAGTTCAAGAATTTCATCCATGATTAAGTTTATAGAGAACAACGAAAGTCAGAATGAGTCGAAAAATTTTTTATTGAGCACTAATTAGGAAGAGTTCTGTTTTCCAACAGAAATAGAAATAACACACGCACTAATTAAAAACATAGTAATAGGACCTCAAATTTTAGTGACACCGGATCACAGATTTAATAAGTCAACCTCGAGGTGATACGGAAACCCAATTTCGTTCTTATTGTCGATATCAGGCATGTTCAAAAAGAACCAGATAACTTTTACGATTAATTGTTGCCAAGAAGAATCACTAACTGCGAAGATTGCAGGACAGGAAAAATTATTTAGCATTATAACATTGCGTTCTCAGGCTTTTTTTTTTTTTTTTTTTTTTAAAAAAAAAATTTCAATTATGCAATAAATCAAAAAATTAACACAATTTGAAAAAGCTAACCTTTTTTATTTTCAACATCAACATTGCGTTCTTTAATACAAATTTGAATGACATTTACGATTACGTGAATCAGAGAGAAACGAATTTATATACATTAAATTGATCCTACCTACATCAATCGTGCTGGAAGATGACGTGTTCGGTTCTCTGTAATTATAGTTAGACTTAATCTCAATCCTTTATCAAATCTCCTCGATTCCCCAGGTTTTAGTACGACTTTCACAAGCGGCTACTTCATCTTAACCTTACACAGACCTTGTATTCTATATATCGGAAATGGCGTGCTAGCAGATCATCATCATCATCATCATCATCATCAGCAGCAGCAGCTCTTTTTTCGTCGAAGTTTAATTATGAACATTTCATTTGATTGTTGGTCTGGTATTCTCTGATCCACTCATTTGTTTCTGATAGACTGATTACGTAAATTCTTTTTTTTCAATATAATGTTGATGAAAGAAATGTTTAAATGCTAATGTTGAGTGTACTGTGGAAATTTCCGACATAAATCGTACTCTTGTCTAATTTCAGGAACGTTTTTAGGTTTTGTGAAAATTTCTGTATAATATTCTTCCAAGAGTTCAAATCCTTATCAAGTGGGACAGAAGACAGCATTAAAACTCTTTCGCAGCGCGTTTACTTTGTATGATTTCCAATGAAAATCCCGGATGTTTACAGTTGAAAGGCCAGAAAGACTAGCACATGTCAACTCTCACTTCTATACCACGTGAAAATCTGTTTTTAGTTTATAATAATTAAAAGCAGATTTTAAAAAAAATATATATGGAAGCAAACTAAAAAGCATTGACTTTTGAACATTTTACCCGCTTCGGCGCTAACGTTTCAACATAGAATGGAGAATCGCAAATAATATCTTGAAGATCTTGATTTTCTTATTTGGAAAGATCCCGTTTATAGTCACGAGGGACCATTCATCGATGGGCCTGGAATACAAATACAGAGGACGATTTTGCACTTCTTGATTGGTAAATAATGCGTACTAATGCATCTAAGTTATTTGAATCAGAAAGTGAAATAATCATCGTCAACAGGCATTTGTTTTACTGATATATCAACATTTCGTTATGATCTGCTTATCAAACTTTCGTTAGTTTTCGATCGGTAATGCTATGGAAGGCTTTTCACAGTCGGAATCTCGAGAATTTGGATCAAAAATTGCCTATCGGATGCTTCAGCTGAAAAAAAAGCAACAACTTTTGAAAGATAATTGCTTCAAATTACACAGGATATGTACTTCATTTAGAAAAACACACATTCGGTCTTGAAAATTAATAATGAAGGTAAAATGCTTCTGGGTTTACAGCCAGAATAGATAATACAAGAGTTCCACGTTCGACATTCAGTTCATGTGAATTTGTAACATATGTACACATAACTTTCGTTTTTACTTCAACTCTACACTGTTGGCTTGGTATCTGTAAACTTAAACGATAAACTTTTAATTCAATCCGTTGAATTAAATACAAGACAATATCACA